GGATATATCAGTTCCTATTAATTACACTCCTGTTGGTAGTAAGCAAATGTTAAACACCGATGTTGTGAGATGTGTCACACTAGAAACTATTAACAGATACATAGAGAGTATAAAATCAAGGGAATGTTATGCTTTTACTGATGGTTCTGTGCAGACAAACACAGGTAGAACAGGCTGTACAATTGTAATATATAAAGAAAAAGAGATGATAGTGTCAAACAAGCAAAGGCTGAACAACTGGGCCAGCACAACACAAACTGAACTAACTGGAATCTACTTAGCCACAGACTACCTCAAAGAAAATGGAGGTGGGGTGATATTCTGTGACTCTCAAAGTGCTTTGAAATCAATGAACAGCCCGTCAGGCTCTATGTCTAAAGTTGTATGTGATATTAAAAGGAATGTGATAACTGCCAATGAGAACAACTTTCGTATTGAATTTGTGTGGATTCCGTCCCTTGTTGGAATCAGGTATCATGACCGTGCTGATAGATTGGCCAATGAGGCATGTAAGAGAGAAAATGTTGACCGTGACCTTGGCCTGTCCAATGCTGTAATTAATAACATTCAAGTAAGAATCATGAACTCTGATCTAGAAGAAGTGAGAAATGCAGAGAGACCTGGCAGTTGTAGCATTAGTAAATATGACAAATTTTGTGACAAGAGGTACCGGTATGGCCAGCATAAGGACAGAACCAGACAGTGTAATGTAGTCGTGGCCAGAATCAGGCTAGAATACAGACACATCTGGCAAGTTAGTAACGCTGTACCCATACCTGAACACTCAGCATGTAAACTTTGTGATAAACCTCTAAAGTATACACTTGAACGCTATATTATTTAATGTGACACTGTCAAAGACTTCAGGCCACCTGACTTATTGTATCTTGAACTATGTAATTACTACATTGAATCAGGGGTGCTTGAGGACATACTTGCTGTTTATCCCAAATTTGCTAGCCCACACTGATTAGTCTTCAATTAGAATATGACTCCAATGTATGTGAACCACTGACCTATATACACTGCTAATGAATATGATGTATTTCCTTCTTTGTGGACGAACCTCTGTCCTGCATGGCAGTGAACAGTGGCATTACCCACATGAATCTGACCTATATATAGTGTCAATGAATATGATGCATCTCTTTGTGTACGAACCTCTGTCCTGCATGGCAGTGAACAGTTACATTACCCACATGAATCTGACCTCTATACATATATAGCTGTTAATGAATATGATGTATTTCTTTGTGTATGAACCTCTGTCCTGCTTGGCAGTGAGAAGTGATACCACCCTCATTGTCAAGACCTGACTGAATTACTCAGAATAGGCAAACTGTACTACAAGCTTTGCCAATAAATTTGTTAAACTAAAAATTTTATGGATGAAGTTTCCTAAAACACCTATTTTAACTAATTTCACCAAGTTTCATTACGAATAAGCAACTAGGAACATGCGAAATATTAATACTTTATCGCTTTAAACCGGGCCAGGCTGTTACTATAGATATTTTCTGAAAAAATACGAACATACATAATGAAGGGCTGTACATTTTCCAATGAGTCCTTAATGGTAATTTTTTAATATTTATTTGTTTAATTTATTTATTTATTTATTTATTTATTTATTTATTTATTTATTTGTTTTTAAGGAAGCGGCGCCACTGATTAAGAACTGGATGTTAAGAGCTACAGTTGTAAGCCCATGCCGCCTGTACCTCTGATCCTTTGATGCCTGGGGAAGATTTTGAGGAAAAGCCGAGGTTTGGATTGGGTGAAGATGGCAGCAGGAGGCAGGTGAGCCTGCTGGTTCACACCACCACCACCACCACTGAGTGGGAACGAGTCTCCTGGGGACACACCCCCTGCCAGTATAGTATCAGCGCCCGAGAAGGAAACACCAAGGTTTCCGGCTGGTCTAGTTACACGAGCCGTGTACTCAGTTCTCTTAAATTTGCAGAAGAAAACCGTTAAGTAAAGCTCTTGCAGTGAGATATTATTACCATAGAGGAACAGCTAGTGACAACTTGTGTTGGATTTTGTAAGGAATTGTAACCCGTGAATTAGTGAAGAGTTGAAATTATTAAGAAAAAAAAACAAGGACAAAAATAAATAATTAATTGTTGAGGATATGATTGTATGTGCTAGAAGAGACGTGTATTGTTGAAGTGATGCCAAATGTTATTATTCCGGTGTGTAAACTCCCTGACAACATAGACACAGCCTACGTTAACTCATTACCTTATACACACAGCATCACTCCCACACTTCGCGTTGTTCATACGCGCACACAGGCATGGGGAGATTAGCTTTCAAATTTAACTAATTAAGTTATTTTATTTTTATTTTTTAAATTAAATAACTTGATTTTTAAACATTAACTAGTTAATACTTTTTCGATTAAGATAAGTTAACCATTCTGTGACCAATTTGCTTAGATGAATTTTCGTGAAGATTAAATAATATAATAATTTGTAAAAGTATTCAAAATAGCCATTGAATAGTTTGAATACAATACCTGAATCGTCAAAGGTGAGTCAGGCAGTTTGGCGCACTACATTCTTTGTCCACTCACTGTGGTTTATATTACATACTTAACTTACGGAAACTCAACTTAACCTGTAGAAGATAACGTTTAAGTTAATTAATTGTCCGATCCCTGATACACAAATAGATTCGAACATCCACTCCAGTCCAAGGCACGTATGTATAGCTCACAAACAACTTTACTCTTAATCACACACACATAAGAACATAAGAACATAAGAAAATACGGAGTCTGCAATAGGCCGGTTGGCCTGTGCATGGCAGCTCCTGTCTAGAGTTACTACCACTCTCTATCATCCATGAATCTATCTAGCCTCCTTTTGAAACTTTCCAGAGTTCCCGCACTTACTACAAAGTTGCTAAGCTTGTTCCACTCGTCCACCACCCTATTTATGAACCAGTTTCTTCCTATCTCCCTCCTAAACCTAAACTTATCCAACTTGAATCCGTTGCTCCGAGTCCTATCCTGCTCGGATATTATAAGAACTTTATCTGTATCCCCTTTATTGATTCCTTTCACCCACTTAAATACTTCTATCATATCTCCCCGCACTCTTCGTCTTTCTGGGGAATGCAAGTTAAGTTTTTTTAACCTATCCTGATATGGAAGGTTTCTAAGTCCCGGAATCATTTTTGTCATTCTTCGCTGCACCGACTCTAGTGAATTTATATCCATTCTATAATAGGGGCACCAGAACTGAACAGCATAATCGAGGTGCGGCCTGACTAGCGTAAGATATAGTGGCAATAAGACCTCTGCACTCTTGTTACTTGCACTTCTAGATATAAAACCCAATACTCTGTTTGCCTTATTTCGAACATTAACGCACTGTTTTCTAGGCCGTAGGTCCGGGCTTACAAGTACCCCTAGGTCTCTTTCACAAGTCGACTTCTCTAGGTTGATGTTGTTAAGGCTGTATACAGTATAAGTATTTGTTCTTCCAATATTAAGTATGCTGCACTTGCTGGTGTTGAATTTCATTTGCCATTTTTCAGACCACCCCTGCAGTTTATTTAGATCCTTCTGTAATGCATTTGCATCCTGCCCTGAATTAATTTGCCGCCCTATTTTGGTGTCATCCGCAAACTTGCTTATGTCACTGCTGATCCCAGTATCTAGATCGTTTATGTAGATTATGAACAAGAATGGGCCTAGTACTGACCCCTGGGGAACCCCACTGGTTACACGGCCCCACTCAGATTTAACACCATCTACGCTGACCCTCTGCGTTCTATCGGTGAGCCATGATTTTATCCAATTTAAAACTTTCCCCTCGATACCATGAGCCTTAATTTTTCTCAGAAGCCTCTGATGCTGTACTCTGTCAAATGCTTTGCTAAAGTCTAAGTAAATAACATCATAATTTTCGCGTCATTATCTACTACCTCGAAGACTTTCCTAAAAAACGTTAGCAGATTTGTTAGACAAGATTTTCCCTTTGTAAACCCATGTTGAGAGTCGTAGATTAATTTGCTTTTCTCTAGATGGGATCGGATGCTATCTGCTATATTTGATTCAAGAAATTTCCCCACTACTGACGTCAAACTTATCGGCCTGTAATTTGACGCTGATGCCCTGTCTCCCTTTTTGAATATGGGTACTACATTTGCCTGTTTCCACAAGTCTGGCACAACTCCAGTGTCTAATGATTTTGTAAATAAGTTTACGAGGGGTCCGCTAATCTGTTCCCTACACTCTTTCAAGAATCCTCGAGGGAAAATTTCATCCGGCCCTGGGGATTTTGTTTTCTTCAGTTTATTTATCTTCTTAAGAACATCCTCTTTTCTGATAGTGATATTCTTTAATTTCTCTTCTTCCTTTCCCTTAAATATCAGTTCCACCTCTGGAATTTCATCTCAAATTTCTTCTGTGAAAACTGATAAGAAGTAGCTGTTCAATGCTTTGCTTATTTCTTCACTGCCATTTATCACTTCTCCCCTCCCTGACTTTAAAGGCCCAACTTTGTCCTTGACCTTTGTCCTATATACCTGGAAAAATCCCTTGGGATTCGCCTTGGATTCTCTTGCTATTTTGATTTCATAGTCTCGCTTTGCTTTCCTTACATTTTTCTTAACATTCCTAGATAGTTCATTATACCAATTTCTGAGCTGCTCCTCCCCTCCCTTTAATTTCTTATATATTCCTTTCTTTATTCATATGTCATGTTTAAGTTTTCTGGTCATCCACCTTGGCTCATTCTTATTGACCAAATTTTTCTGTATGGTATATTTTGTTCTTGTGCTTTATGTAGTATACTAGTGAATATATTATAGTCATGATCAATTGTTGTGTCATCTATGACCTCACCCCTTCCTACTGGGGACTGAAGTGACTGTTCCCAGGTGACCTCACCTAGGTACCTTCTTAACCCCTGATAATCCGCCAACCGAAAGTTTGGGACTCTGACCATATTGTCATTGTTTTTCGTTTCCCAATTTAGGGTGAACCTGATTTCTCTGTGATCACTGTTACCTAGTTCTTCCCCTACTGTGATATCTCTGATAATAATTTCTTTATTTGTTAATACTAGGTCTAATATATTGTCACCTCTAGTAGGTTCTGTAATTAGTTGTTTCAAAAAATTGTCCTGTACTGCGTCTAGGAAGTTTTCAGATTCATAGTCGCCTACAATATTGTCCCAGTCAATATTTCTGAAGTTGAAATCCCCCATAATGCTTAGGTTGTTATATTTTGCTGCCCTACTCATTTCCTGCCATATGGGCTGAGCTGCTTCTTTGCCAAGACTTGGGGGCCTGTAAATCACTCCCATAGTTAGTTTTTCTCTTCCTTCCGTGATTTCTACCCACATATCAACCCTCCCCCCACCTATTATACGATTTACTTCAATAACCCTCCGTAATACCAATGTACAGATCATGACATTTAGATGCATTTTTCAACACTGATATAAACCAATGTACACCAAAGTACACCCAGATGTACCGTACAACACCATATACACCCTGTAACACCATATACAATCTACAACACCATATACACTCTACAACACTATATACACTCTACAACACCATATACACTCTACAACACTATATGCACTCTACAACACCGTATACACTCTACAACACTATATACACTCTGCAACACCATATACACTTAAATACACCCAGACTCACACTAAAATATCATTTTACACTCATTCATATTCAGATACACTTTATAGAATCATTATACACCCAGACACACTTTAAAAAACAATGCATACCCAACCAAGTTGACCTGTCCATATATACTGTATGTATCCTCCTACCCTTTAAGTAAGCATAAGAATATACTGTAAACAGCAAAACACTCTTATCTGACCAAAGAAAGTTTTGACAAAATTGTGTGTGTGTGTGTGTGTGTGTATAATTTTGTTTACCTGGAATTTTTTGTTCTCTAGATATACAACAGTTGATGATAGTTTTACTTATTGTTTGTTGTTAACATAAATATCAGGTAAAGACACTCATTGATATACAGTATGTAGGTGTTCGAAGTACATCTTTAGTAGGTAAACGTTCAGTGTTGTAAAATTATATAATACCGTTGATATTTTATATTTTAACATGATTAAATACTACTAAAATACTAATCTGGAGTTCACGTCCCCCGACTAACGGTTCGTGTGGAGTGTACACTGTGCAGTCGGGGTCATAAGCTCGCTCCCGTCCAAAATGAAGCAGCGTCTACCCCAAATGAGATGAAACAGTCAAGATCAGTCAGTTCGGAGACTCATTGCCGTGACTCAGTTTCACCAAGGAAGCAAACTTTTGTCCTCGACTGTACATCTTAGTCTAACTATTCAGTTAGACCTAAAATTCTAATCATCCTATGTTAGCATCATTAGTTTATGTTAGAAAACCGCAAATAAAATTTTCGAGAACGATTTTTGCTTATAACTTGCTTAAATTTTGAAAGTGGATTAAGTATTGTGTGTTGGGTGCAGTTGTAGGTAACAATGATTGTTATAGTGTGGGTGATTTACTCATTTGGCTCCATAGAAGGCCAGCTGTCAAGCCTGTCATTCTTCACTTGGCTGAACATGGCTGAGTAGATGTAGGTAACGTGACATTAGGTTTTGCAGCATTTTTCTGTTTCTCTGTCTTTTCTGTTTATATTTACTATATACCCTAATCTTCTCTTTCCATGTCTGCTTATTGTCTAGACATTTAAAGTAATTATTCATCTTTCCTATCCTACAGGCTCCTTGGCCAATAACGTTCTTTGTGTCATCTTAAAGATTTTTCAGCCAAACACGTTCTTTGTGCCATCTTAAAGACTCTTCAACCAATCAGCTACTTCCTTGGTTCATCTTCAAACACAACATACTACCACGACTCGTGTGTTTCCCTCCTTAACCTTACCATCAGGTCTTGTCTCAGGTCAGTATCATCATAGAGGAGAGAGGGAACCATAGTAGATTTAT